ATTCAACATCTTGAAATTGCATTTGAATCTTGCAAATGTGAAATTAATGAACAAAAACACATCCCGGCTTCCACGACAACTCTGGCACCTCCTTTTTGGCTTCTCTGATCTGCTTAAGCGTATTCAAACGGTCCTGAAGATCGGACTTGCAATCATTGAAATCTATGTGAGCAAGGACGCTACTAGGGGCTCCTGGCCTTACTACTAGGAGCAAGAAACTACTAGGGGCTCCTGGCATACTTGATTCGCAGAAGTATATAATTCAATAAGTCAAAACAGCAAACACCAAACCTGCATCCTGGCACCTTCAAGTGGATATAGGGTAAAGCGGATAAAGTGATTGAAATAGACTAAAACCGTGCGTTCCCTCTTTGCAGTGGTAACTTTTGTTCCACACACAGGCGTCGTGGTCTTTACTTGGGTCCATGGGGTTTCTCTTAAGGGCCTGCTTTTGTGCATGTCCATCAATTTTCCCAATGAATAATGACGAGGGTTCAGAGGAAAGATTCGACCCACAGAACGATCCGGACAGGTCCTGCTTGCTGATTGCGGTGGTATTAAGTTTCTTTACTGAACTCCGCGCGGTTTCCGTACGGCCCTGCCACAAGATCGCAGTCAACGGAGCATGCATTGACAAAGATGGAGTTCATGTCACATCTTCTGTTCATCTCCACCGGGGTTTTCAATGACAATCCAAACAATATTGTCAAATCCAAACACGCACAATATTGTCGGCAGTTCGACTATATACAAATATGTCCACAGATTCAATCACATGATTCACGCATATTCACAAGCCCCGCACCGGTAGCCAGCGTAGAACTCTTTGGAGGAGTTGGGAAAATCATGAAGCCAATGAATGCAAAATAAAACTATACATATCATATAAACATACATTCGCCCACGCCGAAGGTGCTAAGGCTTAGGCATAATAAGCTCGTGTCGTAGCGACGCTCCAACAACAGAGTGAAGCCTATGTTAAACAGGAACCGGACAAAGTCACACCTTGGTCATCCCTTGACACTGTTTCAATGCCAAATCGCCATGGCAACGCTGCTTCCAACAAGTCATCCCCCAGTCACCCCCGCGAGCCAACCCCAATGGAACGCTGAGCAAAAAGACATAAAAAGACATCTTGATATGATACATATATATATATATACGTATATATAAATATAGACCTGGTTCCTTGCAGGCACACGTTCTGGCCCCCCTCAAGGTGTTTTGATAAGCCTGCTCTTGGTGCTGAACTGTTCCCCATGGAACTCTGACTTTAACTATGGTTGGAGCGTAGCTCTCTGGATGAAGGCAACTGGTGAACCTTCAACAGTGGCCACGAGGATGACCGCACCTGCGAACCTGAGTATAACCCTTCCACTCATGATGCGCCGCCTGCTAATGCTTACATCAACCCCTTTATGGGTTGCCAGCATACAACCTACAAGTAGGTCCCTTTCCAAACAGCAGAGTTTTCTTGTGTTTGGGAAGGAGAGACGACTTTCCGCAAAGCCTTCTCCCCCAAGGCAGGGTGGCAATCACTCAAAAAAAGTTACAACATTGTCTTTTGCCTGCAAGTGTTCTACACACTACTGTAATAACAGGGGAAACCGCCCTATTTTTGGAAGGCACAGGCCCAATAAAATCGGTTTAAGCACTCAGTTTCTGACGTGTTTGTCGAAAATGAAAAAATCGGCCGGCTTCTTTGGACACTTCAGAGAAACATCTTCGGAACATGGGCTCATCTTAGGGTCAACTTGGCCCAAGATGGCCCCAGCGTGATACCAAGTTGGCCTCAACTTGGGAGTGGCGCCAACTTGGGCCAAGTGAACCCCAAGATGAGGCCGTGCTTCGAACATGTTGCCCCAAAACGTCTAACATGGCCATTTGTTTGCACTCGCAAAGACATGTCAAAAAGTTTGTTCTAGCACTTTCTTCTGGTTTGTGACCGCCAAAAACTTCAGCTTGAGCCCCACATGCTGGCAAGCGTCCATGTTAGCGTCAATTTGAGTCATGTTGAACCCAAGCAAACCCAAGTTGCATCATGTAAGGGTCCAACTTTAGCCCCAACCATGTTGGGACCAAAGCAATTGGGGCCTGTTTGGGCCCAACAACGAGAACATGGTCCAGAAAGGTGCTCCATCACAGCCAAATTTGTGGCATGTTGGCTTCAACTGCGAATAAATGATCCTGGTGTGGGCGGTGGTCGTCGCAGAGAGCGACATGAATGCATGAATGTATATCATAAATTAGAAACAAGTGCACCGCTTCTAGTAACAAGTGCCTTACTAAGTAGTAGTAACAAGAAGCTAGTAGAAACAAGTGCCTTACTACTAGGAGCAAGAAGCTACTAGGGGCTCCTGGCCTTACTAGTAGTAACAATCAGAATGAGCGGGTCCGTGCCTTCGATGCGTTCCTCTTTGAGGGCTTTTCCTGAAAAAAATAAGGAGATTCTCACGGCCATTTCACGCGAGATTCTTTCACGGCAAGGATGCGGGTCCTTTAGAAACAAGTATGCTCACCGCAATGTTCTTTTGTTACTTTTGTTCTTTGACATGGTTTGCTACATTTTGCTACAGCAATTTCTAGATCAATGACAACTCCTTCCGCAGGGATCCAGTTTCACTGCCAAGTGAAAGATCATGAAAGATCTGTCCTTTGTCGAGGACCTGTGATGATGCATTGCTGCAAAAAAGTGATTGCCTGAAGCCTAAAGGGCCTAAAGCTGTTAATTATGCTAGGTCGGAACCAAAACTACAGGCTATGGCCACTTTGAAGGGGCAAAGGTTTTAACTCGGTTTGGAAAATTTCAACGACAAGCCAAACTAAACTGGTTCATCAACCTAGCTGGCAACATGTCCTCCGAGAGTGTATTGACAAGGAATGCTTGAGCTTTCATTGAGTATCTAATCTCATCAGAAGGAAATTATAGTAGGCCTTAGCAGTAGGCAGAGTTGCGTCTATCATTGCTTTGGGTGGCGCACACAGCTGAGAGCCAACAGTACGATTCGCTGATTTGTGCATAATGCAACCTATCCTGAAAAGTATAAAAGAACAGTAGGAGACAAGCAACATTGAGCGAGCCTACAGTAGCTACAGTACTTCAGAAATCCTGCAGATTGATCCGAAATTGGGAAGCGTGTACTGGGCTCTTTTTCTCAGAACGGACATGGTCATATTTAGACCTTGCCCACTTGATCTGTACTGAAAACTCCTTTGAAGAAACTTATCCAACAGCCAACAACCATTTTCTGTTGGTGAACAACAGCTTGTGCCCATGGGCGCCAAAAAGCAGCTAATGCCATGCTTTGTGAAGTGTTCCTTTCCTAACAAAAGGTCTGAAACAGAAACAGCTCTGCAAGTGTCTGACTGATCGCTTCTTTTTCAGAATGAAAACGCTATTCGAAGACGCCCTCTGTGGTTAGCACATTTGAGATCCTGCAAGGCAATGCTTTCAATTCAGCCTGTAGTCAGAATATCGTTTGATCCTCCATCCCACGAAAGGAAGGGAGAAGAGAGGGCAAAGGGGGCATCCAGGGTGCTGGCGCCGACATCTGTGTAGTGCCATGAAGTGCCACAATGAAGGGCAAGTGAAAACGAACGCCGCAAAAGACACAAATAGATTCCTTGTTACTAGTAGCTTCTTGTTACTAGCACTAATAGCCTCCAACCTAATAGCGATGGCCTCCACCTAGTAGCGTCCTTGCTAGACATGAAAAATAAACCTGCTCTTCCTTACAGCGCAAAGGGCCGTGGCTCAAACATAGGCAAAATGAAAAATAGACTAAACACACTTTCCTGGGTCATTTTTTCAGAGACACCTCCAAATGTACTCCATAGGACCACTTGCCTGGTCGCTGTCTCCGAGGGATCTTCCGGCTGCTTTTCCAGGATGCCTTGCTCTCTTTTAGTCAAGCGGACCCTGTGACAACTTGACATGCTAAATACGTTCTCCTACGACAATGTCACCAAATGTCAGGAATCGTGTTTGTGAGTCGCCTTGCGCTACATCTTGCCCATCTTCAACCTTTGGAACCTTTCGGGCAGGGCTTGGAGCTCAGCATCTTGAAGAAATGACTTCCGACAGCAGAGTTCAACAAACAGGACTTGACTATGCCTTTTACCTCTATCTCAGCACGGGCAACTCCAAGACGAAGACAATCACAGCTCAAATACATATAAATTTGACCAATAATTATACAATATATATATATTATATATATATATATTGAGAGAGAGACTCTACACATCACTGGGTGTCAGGTCAATTATACTGGCAAGTGCAGCACGTACCTTCTGGCCAAGATCTTCACACTGTGGATCTTCAGCAAGGTGCAAATCTTCAGCAACGGGCAAATCTTCGTGCTGGGACTCCTTGCCAACAGTTTCCAGTTCTAGAACAAGCGAGCTGCTCGGAGAATGCATATTCTTGTAACAATATGCACTCTCATTCCAACGTGTGAAGAATCAAGGCCAGTAGGACCTGGTAAAAAAAGGCAGTAGAGACCAAAAACAGTAATTAAAGGGCAGTAGGGACAAAAACAAAAACATGCAAACTTCGAGGTACTGTAAATGACCCCGGTTCTCCATGCCTGTATTGGCTGCGGTGGTGGGGGGGGTGGTGGTGGACGCGACCTAAGTGAGAACAAGGCAGGGACTGGTCAAAGTTTCGCAGCTCAGCTGACGTAACTATCTGCCTTCAAGAAATGTGGACGAGAACGTCTACAAACAACATCAAGGCGTGTAAGAAAAGCTACTGTGCAGGTCATCCTCTCACAAGAAATGCTGCTTGATGATCAATTGATACGGTTGTGGGACATAACATATTAAACACCTCATATCAGGATTCTGCGGCACTGCAATGCCACGGTTTTCTGCCCCGGCCTGTCCAACTGTGGGTTTCCCAGTTTGGAACCAACAGTCAGTGAGCAGCAAAGTCACTCTGCATCTCTGCTATCCTATCCTACATTCCCAAGTAGTATTTTCAACGGCCATGAACAAATGCGATACAAGGGCTTTTGAACCAAACAGTGTAGCTACTGTCGCTGAGCTTTGACAACGTGGCAAAGTTGCTGACGGGACAGGGGATCCCGTCTCTTTGGCAATTGATTCAGCTCAGGGTGTCTACATTTCACTGTTTTATAAAGGGATGAGCGGACTTTCCATCCTGGCCTGCAACTGATTTTGTTGCAGTCGCATTGACAACTCTGCTTGAACTATCTTGAACTTGCATTGGATGTCAACGACATCACCATCACTTGCAAGCTTGCAGGTGGACAAATTGTTTCGAACTGTGTCGAACTCGAACTCTACAAAAATCAAGTGACATCTTACAACCGCTCTGCTCAGGCGCTCTTCTTGGGGCCGCCATTCCTATCCGGATCGAATCCCTACCGACGCCTACCACGACTTTGAGCTCTGTCCTTGATTGTTCTTGCTCTTGAGCTATGCAACAATGGGTTCTACGTGCACGCCCTTGCAGCCCAGATTCCTGGTATACTCCTGCGCCCATGCGGCTTCCTCTGCTTCTTCAGCTTCTGCTTCTGCTCGATGTCGTTGTACTGTATAGATCCCAATCTGTAGGCACAGTAGCCTTGGCTTAGTCAAACATCATGACAGTATGGCAGCCACCTCTACATATATAGATTCATGCTTGTTTTGCCTTAAACCTGCCTACCACAGGCACAAACTGTCATTTGCTTGCTGCAAGAATGGATGGGACCTTGCGCTGGGAACATGTTGCTTTCGATTCTCCTTTGCAACACGTATACTGGAAATAGCTGCTCGCGTTGTCCGCTAGGAACATGTTGCTTCCTTTAGGTATGGTGGATGTCAAGCTCTACCTTTGACTCTGGGTTGGCTCCCGAAAGAGTTGGTGTCGGTGTCCACAGTGGCTTGACCCAGCTGAGCAGCAAAACAATGCCGAAGATCTTTGCATCCCACAGGGCACGTCCGACTGCACAATAAAAGATGTACATAGGGACCTCTTGTGCAAGCACTCAACGCGCTGAAAAGAGGCTGTCGTTGAATCGAAGCCAACCAAGTATATAAATATACATAATTGCTGCAAGGAAGGCCGCGTTGAAGGGGAGTAGTCGGCTTGCACATTGCTCAGGTACTACCAGTATGCTGGAATTGCTATTTAATTGTATAGTATAGTCATTGAAAAACTCCAAGTCTGTTGATGCTGCTTTCATCTGCTTTCCAACTTCGAGAAAAGAACTTGTGCTTGCTTTCCAAGACGCCGCTGATGAGGCTCGACAAACATATTTAGCCACAGCACTCAAGCGTCTGAAGACCAAAGCCGAACTCACTGCATTGCTGAGATCAGCAAAAACAGCGAGAAAGGTATACGAGTCCCAGCCTGCTCAAACAAAAAATTGACATGTTCATAAGCTTGTCGTTACCAGCGTCTTCGTTTTCTAGCAATCTCTGGTTACTCTATGTTACTCTGCCTCGTTCAGTGATGCAAATGCAGGACTCTCTTGCAGCAAGATGATGGACACATCTCAAATGCTCTGGTGAATCGCACAATGGATGCCAAGGTCCTCCTGCAGGCTCGCAACTAGAACATGCTGATCTTAAAAGTTGTATCATCACTACCAAACTTCATGAACCTTTGTAGACTGCCTCTAGATGTGGGTGCAAACGTGTCAAAACCCTGATCCCGGTACCCTGGTCAATACCCAAGTTCACGAAAGGATAGAACGGACTTCAAGCAACAAGGAATTCACATACCATGAGATCTGGGCACATTCGGTAACCTGTCATGTCCAGAATACATGTGACATAGACTTGGAAGCTCCTGAGAAGAAAGCCCAATTCCCAGCGTCATCACGCAGTTCCAGGGCAACACCACCAAGGAAACCATAGCCCGGCATAGACAAACTTGCTCCCAATAGGAGCAAAAGCATTGTCGCCAGGCCCCAAAAAGCCTGGGGGGCCAACAATTCAAAACTACACATATTATATATACATACTTGCAAGAGCCGATCTCGCTGCCATCATCAAAAGCAAAAGTGGCAATGTTTGACTTTATGACTTTATTGGTGATACTGATACTGGTGAAATCGCCTGCAAGGCCAAGACCACCAGGAAGGAGTTGTTTTTGTAGGTATGCTCACAGAATACCTGGTCAACACCACAAAATGCCTTTCCCCAACCAGTCACATCGCTCAGCATAGGCAAAATCAGCCTAAATGCTTGCAGTCTCCAAATCACGTTTGATACACATATTATGTGTTCAGTTGAGTTGTGGCTATACCGAAAGTTATGACCATGGAAGTCAAACAATAATGAAGATGTCACTTTTTCCTAGTGGGAATGCACCCAAAACTGATCGGTCCAAGGCGTATGCAACACCATGTTGCTCATTGTTCCTCATATCGTTGAAAAGATATAAATATCATATATCATAATATATATAATATACATAATATATATACAATATAATATATAAATATAACTATTTTTATATAATATAATACATCTAAGTAACATAGTCCCGTTCATTGTAGTGGCATGCTGTGGTATTTTCTTTGCATCATGGATTGCCATCCCAAGGTGCTGAACTAAAGGCCACAAGGGAGCTTTTAGCTAAAGCAGCCCAAGCCCCCTCCCAGCGCCATTGAGAACCCATATTCCCAGCCTGCACAACGCATCAGATTTAGGCAGTTTATACAGATAGACGACTAGGATCCATCCAAACAAACCGTCATCAAAATGTAAACTAAACAAGTTCTCGAAATGTGTGCCCTTCCAAACTACACAAGCCTCTGCCAAAGTGTACAGGGCTGCAAGAAAGCTGATGAACACAAGCTCCTTTCACAATCTTCGCTCGTGGGTCTGTCACCGTCAAGAACATGTGTCACGTGTGCGTGTGTGTGTGTGTGTTAACACCTGCTTCTAAGGTTTTACCTGGTAACTTTTACCGTCGGTTCCACTAGAAGGCTGGGTGCTACTAGTAGTTTCTGACCTTACTACTAGGACCAAAAGAAGCAGGG